GTCCCAGCTACTTGGGAGGCTGAGGCAGGAGACTCGCTTGAGCCCAGGAGTTGGAGGTTGCTGTGAGCTGTGATGCCATAGCACTCTACCTGGGGGATAGCTTGAGGCTCTGTCTAAAAATAAATAAATAAATAAATAAATTTCAACCAAGTATGTTATATAAAATAAATACCTCTTCCCAGGTATACTCCTCATTAGGTGACCTTTCACCTTCCATTGTAAAGGTTTTTCCAGTGCCAGTTTGGCCATATCTGTCGAGATTAACAAAAGTATTAAATCAGAAACAAATACATGCATCTAACCTTTTTTATCAACTTGAAAAATAGTGTTTCACTTACGCAAAGATAGTGCAATTATAGCCCATAATAACTTCATCCAGAATTGGACAAACAACACTTCGGTAAACATCAATTTGTTTAGTCGATCCTCCAAAAACCTATCAAAAAAAGTTTTTTTCTTATAGACAGAAAACTTAAAATTGCTCATTTTAATGATTTTGTTTTTAGTATATTAACTCATTCTGCCTACTAGAAATTATCTGACAAATTGAAGAGACAACTGAAATTTGTAAGTGTACACCATTTTCCAGATGAAATACATATATCAGAGTTACTTTACATTAGTGGATAATTAAGAAGGTGCACCACAGGTTACCATATCAAAAGTGTATGTCTTCCTTGAGCTCTTGTCAGCCAATCCTCCAGTCCGTACGCTAACTTCTTTTCGTACATGATCACATTCTACTATTGAATGGGCATTAGCTTTCCTTTCTGCCAAGTTAAATGGTCTGAAAAAGAAACACACAAAGTTGTTCAAGAACTCTTAGTTATCAAGTTATTGATGAAATTTATTTTCCTTAACTACATCAGTAAGACAAATGTGAAGTGTGAAGTTCTGACTACAGTGTTAGTGATTGGGATTACGTGGGAACTAAATGATACTGCCAAAGCAGACAGTAGATGTATAAAGGTCTCAATTCCCAGAAATAAGATTTGTTTTTTAATCTTCAAAGATATGTAATCTATTACAATTCTGACAAATTCTTAGAGTAGATGCTAACAGAATTTAACTTGCAAAATATTGCAAATTGTGGCTGGGCGTGCCTATAATCTCAGCATTTGGGAGGCTGAGGCAGATTTGAGACCAGCCTGAGGCAGAGCAAGACCTTGTCTCAAAAAATAGCCCAGCGTTGTGGCGGGCGCCTATAGTCCCATCTACTTGGGAAGCTAAGACGCGATAATCGCTTGAGCCCAAGAGTTTGAGCTAAACAAAATAAATGAACAAACAAACAAACATAGCAAACAAAATCAATGGTCAAAGACAAAAAGCTTCTCTAAGATTAGGAGGGAGCAAAGCAAGGATTCCCACTTTTACCACTTCTTTTTTTATTATTTTTTTTGAGACACAGTCTCACTATGTCACGCTTGGTACTGTGCTGTGTTGTCACAGCTCACGGCAACCTCAAACTCTTGAGTTTAAGCCATTCTCTTGCCTCAGCCTCCCAAGTAGCTAGGACTACAGCTACTTTTGTTGCTGTTGGTGTAGTTGTCATTGTTGTTTTAGCAGGCACAAGTTGAGTTTGAACTCGCCAACCCTGGTGTATGTGGCTGGCACCCTAACCACAGGCTACAGGTGCCAAGTCCACTTTTACCACTTCTATGCAAACACAGAACTAGATGTTCTAGCCAGAGCAATTCGGCAAGAAAAAGAAATAAGTATCTACATTGGAAAGAATCACAATTATCTGTTTGCAATTAATACAGTCTTCTATGTAAAAAGCCTAAAAACTCCACCAAAAAAACTGTTACAACTAATACATGAATTCAGAAAAGTAGCAAGATACAAAGTCAACAATTGCATTTGTACACAATAAAAATGAACAATCTGAAAAGGAAACAATTCCATTTAACACTGCATGAAAAAGAATAAAATACTTAGGAATTAATTTAAGTAAAACATTGCTGGAAAAAAACTAAAGGCAACACAAACACAGAAACACATCCCATGTTCATGAACTGGGAGACTTAATATACCCAAAGTAATCGACGGATTCAATGTAATCCCTATTAAAATCCCAACTAGTATACTAGCAGGGCTAAGGCAGAAGGATGTTTGAGCCCAGCAGTTTGAGTCCAGCTTTGACAACACAGTAAAACTCTACTGGGGGG